TCTCTTGTTTTGTTTACTCCGTTTAACCCCGTTCTGTTCGGCTTGCATCCCTATCATGCAGCTGACTTCTCACTCGATTTTCTGGTTATAATTTCTAGTCGTGCGCTACACTATCGTTAAAGAGTACCAGCTATGTGCCAGTGACCCAGTGGTTGTTGTAAGCGGCCAATGCTTGGCAGGACGTTACCTTCGCTATCTGACCAACCTGCTTTGTGCAAACATTTTAAGAAGCTAAACAGCTCATTTCCACTAATTTTCGACTACTGGTTAATGAGTTGACTAGGTTCCGAACTCTTCGCAGTTTTATTTCACTGAAATTTCCGCACTGCTGGAGAATGTGTAACAAACTTCTGTGTTTGTGGCAGTTTTAATTTTCATGGTTCAGCCATTCGTGAAGTTTGTGAGTCGAGTAGCAACGACCATCAGTGTGGAAACTTTTATCCTGTCTCCAACAAATCTTATTCGTTTAATAAATGCAGGTTTTCCAGTGTTTCAACACTCAAGGTCCACTCATTCAGTGAATCGTCATGCGCACGTTTACTCATTCAATGGTGCAGCGCACTAGAGTGAGATGTATGGCCAGCGGTACAGGTTTCAGAGAAGGCTGCGCATACTCATTCGTTAGTTCACTTCTAGATTTCTTTCAGTAACCTTGTGCATGATTCCTCGTTTTACCCCAAACATTGCTGTCTTCTCGTCAGCTACCCCGACCGGATTAAAGCTATGACCCACGTAGCTCACGTGGTTCTACCCTACACTGCTGCAGCTGTTCTTTCTCTCCCCCACGCGCAACTCTTAATGGGAGCCGCTACCCTGGCCCTAGCTGCATTTCAGTATGATCCTGTTAGTTGTCGAAAGTTATTACACTCGGACGGCTGTCTGTTTCGCATCGGATATAAGATGAGACAAAACAGTGGAATGAGCTCCACGTGGCCGAAACTAAGGGATTTGCCAATGAGTTTTTTAAAGACAACTTGCCTATTCAACCGGCTGCACTATGCCAGGCTACGCTCGCTTCCGACTCCCACCGGTGTCAAGTATCCTCGTGAATGCAAATCTGTGACTGAACGCATGGCCGTCGAGTTAGGACTAAAACTGGTAAGCAAAGTTTCATATCTTTGTTATTCTCACTTTTCTGTTAGAACTCTGGTCCGCAGATGGTGTCTCGTATTTTGAACGATATCAGAAACCCCCCAGTCAAATCGGAAAAAAATGTGCGAGATAACGAATCCAGCAACTCAGAATTTCCATAACTAGCTCGTTCTAAGAGAGATCACTTCATGTAATCCCTATAAGACTTAGCTTCGAAGTGATGCATTTTATGGGAGAATCCCAACTGAAACTCTAGGCGTATCCGAAATGCCGACTGGGATCGAAGCTGACACCGGAATGGGACTTTCCACAGATTTTTTGCACTTTGACTACCACGTATCTGGACGTTTGCGCTGCAAGCGTTCTCGTTTCAGCGGTGTGTGAATCATAGGGGAGGGGAAAGCTGTTTTTCACTAGCGACGTACGATATCTCTGGTCAGCAAAGTACATCAACCATTTGAAGGGATTCAGATATTAGCCAAATAGACTAGAGAATCCCCAAGCCAGCTATACGGTTCGCGAAACACGCTGCCTGTTGATGTCGTTTTTGTTTTGTCTCCCTAAGCAAGATAGGATTCCACATAGCCGTTTACTGTTCCGGCTAACCATCCCTTACAGGAGCGGAAGTTAAACAACCGGTTCTTCAGAAAAACTTGACAGTTTGCATTACTTCTCCCTATGTGACCAAGTGATCTGTGATTTTCTACTTCGTTGGGTTTGATTAGCGTTCTCGAGTTCTGCAGTATCCGAGATTCTTTGTAAACAGTTAAACTTGGATATCGTCCGAAATCACTGCACCACCGAATGCATGTTAGCATCACCACGTTAAAAGCGTCATTATGGTAGACTGGTAGGAGTTGTCAGAAGTTCTCGGTGATTCCTCGAGGTAGCGGTAGCTGAAATTAGAAACAATGCTGTAAAGGCGTCACACCTAACTATTGTTGAGGACAATGCAAACGAAATGAGTATAGGGTTCCATCTTGAAAGTGAAATAATGCAGTTGGTTGAATTTGCTCTCTTGTTAAGTATACTATCGTTTCTGTGATGAAGATACTTTGAACTGTTATGTCACTTGAAGCTAGTGACTGGCGTTTTCCGGAACACTTTGGTGAAATTTGTGGAATGACACCAAGAGTTCCATGAAATTGAAGCTCTAGCTTTTTGGCCGAGGGTGTCTGTATATTTTTAGCCAACTGAAGAGACCCACTTTAAATAATAATCCTCAGAATCGTGGATAGATGCTTTTGATAAGCATTTCCGGACACCTACTGCCCTAAATGAGTCAAAGGCATTGAAATTCCATCGTGGTTCAGACAAGTAGATGGAAAAGTAGGTTCATATTCGACTCATATGTTCCGCTCGGTCAGACTTTTCAAGCAGTGCAAAATTCCACAGGTTGGAGCGAAGTGTTTTTAGCAGATTGTCCATGTCTTTGTTCTGGAGATAACAGAAGTGATATTCGCGGCATAACAAATCATTTTAAGGTTCTCCAGACTAATAAATAGGTCGATGCCCACTGGCTGATAGTGAATGCACTTTTAATGAGGATTTCGTCCTCTAAGCGAAGCTGATCTATACTGAAAGGCCAAGAAGCGCTGTATAGCTGTTTCTTATTGGGAATCCTCGGAAATGCACACCTCACGAAATTCCAGAGAGTGCGGAATTCCTGAACTACTATCCAGGAGGTTGCTGGTTCGAGAACCCCTGGAATTACGGGAGATTAGCACTGCCAATGATTCCAAATAAGAATGAAACAACTCCACAATGCTTCTCAATTTTCACCATAGAACGGTTTCACTTGCAGGACGAAATCCCCATCACAGCCAGCAAATGTATTCACACTGCCAATACCTCCAGCTAACTCTGGCCTAGTTCATCGTTGAAACCCGGACGTTGCACTATGTAAAAGTTATCTTTTACTCTAGTCCTCTACTCGGCTTCATTCCCTTTGGAGAAAGTGTTGAATTTTATTTTGTAAATAATCTGTTCAGGCTATTATATTCAGGTGGCTAGTTCTCGGGAAAATCCGCCCATGCAAGATCGCATCAGGTGCGCATTGTGGCGGTCAATCTTGTAACTCTTTTGCAAGCAGATCTGTGTGTCTGTCGACAATAAACGACCAAGTTATCAGACTTGTTTAATCCTTGATGGGTTACGGTTCCCTATGGCATAACAGGCTAGCGATTTTACTTGCATTGGGAGTGTGTTAAGTAAGCAGCGATGAACCGCCTCCTATGGATTTTGTCCACTATCTTGAAGACCTAGCTATTCTAGCCGAGCACCATGGGATCTGGCCTTTATGGTCCTGGATATGACCATGCTACATCACCATGAGCATTTGATTCCGAGGAATAATGGCTCGATTGGTCTAAGTGATTGCTATGATAAGTACATCAGGCGGTCACACAGTGGGCGATCCGTGCCAACCTTGGTCCTTCGTTTGTTCTCCAGCTGTTTGATAACTTTTCGGAATGTTGTTTCACATTTCGGTTGCTCACTGTCAGAACCAAGCTTGCCAATACAGTTTTGTCATTCTTTAATTTTTGTTTATATTTTTTTTCAGTGTACTGGACTTGACTTGCTCTTACTGTCTACAAAACGTACTTCGAACGATATTCAGACGCCAACTGTTCTGCCTGTCAGTATTACAAATACGGCTACCTGGGAGGACTTTCTTAAGAGATTGGAATCACTTGGGTATTTTCGCGTAAGTAATCCTTGCTGATCTGTCATTCACGTTGGAATTTATTTGAAGCAGTCAGGTGGAGGTCTCTTTGAGCCTGTTTTTCCCCGGGAATGCCAGCGATGTGCTGTGCTTTGGTGTACAGTTAGTTTCATAGAACTTTATAATCTAGAGCCCTCTTGTCTATCCACTAACCCGTTTCGTTTGGAATCGGTACTATTGTGTTTGGCTGATCAGGTCATCTAGGCTATTCACTCTAATCGTTTGGTTCATACGGCTTCTGTATTTGAAGAGCTTTACCAGCCGACACTGCAATAGCGAAATGTCCAATATAACTCTAATGTGAACCCTTATGCTATCTGATACAGTACTCCATCCGTTTAACCTTTTAAGAGTTAATGTTAATTTGAAGAGCACAATATTCTGAGTAGATGGTTGATGCTCGTACTTCGATTTGATGTTCACAATAGCTTGTGTTTACAATAAGCAATACACTCGCCCTCCCTGGAGATGCTACCTGACGGGACCGACCAATAAGAGAGACCAGATTCGAATGTGGAAACATACCATCAAAAGGTGTACTGAAGGATAAACCAAAAGTGGTCCCTTGTTAGTACTGTTCTCTAAATGGGGGTAACCGTGAAGTCTCGTAAACAGCTGGACTGTCGTTGTAATGGCAAAAATCCGTCGGTAATTCACTAACGCGTAACCATAACTTTACTATCATCGTTTTCATTGTATTATAGTCAGTTAATCAAGCCCTTTAGGGCTTGTCCAACCCAAACGTTGTGGGGTACTCCAAAGATCCGGTTAGATAATGTGAAGGGAGGCTGGTAGCAAGAACACCTTTGGTGTCGTGTTCAGCATTATATTATAGAGTCTAGCGGGGCGCTGAAAGCATCACTCGAATATTATCCTGGAAGTCGCACTCTTTTACCAAGCCAGACACGGCAAATAACGCTTGTTGGTGGAAAGTGGCTCACACGTAAAACACAAACCCAACCTAATTCATAGTTTGATGAAAACTTCCTATGCACTTTCAAAACTCGTTTTCTGATCATCGGATTACGAATCCGTTGATGCCCACCGCCAACAACAGCCATGACTCTGAGGCGTTGATTGTGACTAACTTGAAGACACCTCACAACCACCGCCCGCAGAGATCGAGCTCTACTGCCATGTAATAGAACTGCCTATTGGTACGATTCTCAAGGCCGAATTATTTACTCTTTGGCTGCCAAATTGACATAGAATGGTGCGATTTGAACCATTGGAGTGCATGTACTGGCTGTTACCTTATTTTCTGAACTAATGCACAACTCCCACTGTACGATTCCTGATGTCTCCAAGTATTGTGCGGTTTATATTCGGAGTCTGCACTTGCGGTTTTACTTTTTGCTTATCCATCCTGTTAAAAAAATCAGAAACATGTCGGCTCTTCCAGGTCGACTAGGTGTTTATTGGAAACGATGCGAATTCTAGATTCTCCGATGCACAGTACTCACCACTGTGTTGTGGAAAACAGAGTTAAGTGGCGGTGGTAGGAATGTGCATCTTTGCCTAACCGGTCTTTCAGGGAAGGTTTTTTGTGACCTTCCCACAGGTATGTGAATACAATGTGTATTTTATGTAGACCCCTGTGTTCCATAGTATTGTCTATGAACGATAACATTCAGTTCTACCTATTGACTCTCGGAGTATGTTCAAAACCAGAGAATTCATCTCTGAGACTATTACTACCCTGTTTTTGTTTGATGTTCATTGCTGGACAGAGGAGCTTTTGGTTACATCATGTATGTCAGCACTAACACTGAAAGCGCCAGGTATCATTATAAATTGCTATCTTAGAATGTTACACGTAAACTTTAATGGACAAGGTAGTTACGATATGTTTGCATGGCACCTGACTGAATGAGGTATGTGAATTTTACCCAAGTTAAGAAGGCTCAACGAGAAGCTGTGTCCAATAAATGCGTAACTCGAATCTCCGCACGCGTTTTCTGATGACTTGCATTCGACAACTGATTTACAGTTATGGTACTCTGGACGACTTGGGTTTTTTGTCGCTGGATTGTTGTTCGCTTGTTGATGGGATGTCGTATGGCCACGGGTTACCTTTTATTCCAGAGGTTTGTGCCATAGTCTCCCTCGTTGTCAATCCCATCCAAAATGGTTATCACCTCCTACCTTCTCATTCGGGGCGAGATGGCTCAGTCGTTAGAGTGTGAATTTACTAACCGGAAGGTCCGTGGTTCCAATCCGACCTCTACCTCCCGACTTTCTCTGTCTAAGCTTGGGCAACCTGGCAGTATCACAGATCGCGTGCTTCCTTCTGGTGGCATGGCAGCCAGGCACCGAAAGGGTGCTACAGCTGAACGATTGTTTTCATTTATTCATTTTATTACCTTCTACTTCACATCGGCAGTTATTATGATTTCTGGGCTTCTGATCTTTTTCGATACTCATCATGGAGACCGGCTTCGATAGTGTCAGAGCTACAGTTTATTGGGGTACACAGACAGGTTGTTGGTGCTGACTGATGCATAACTGTTGCAGCTATTTGCTATCCAAGTCCAACAATAACCCCAGTCCCAGTATGGAATCCCTTGAGTGTTTGCTGTCAGACGAGACGGAGGAGCATGTGAAAATATGAAAGTGGGACTTGGTTTTGTTTGCTCGCCTTGCTCGGCGCAACAATTAACGCGACTTGTTTGATGTCACTGATGCGACATGAGGATCTATCCTCTTGTCGTTACTGATTTTATGTGAACAGGGTTCTCACGTTCGGACAGGAAGATAAGAATGCTTGGTCTGAGGCCAACAGAATGGTCTAATTTTTAGGGAAAAAGTAACATATATGGACGTAATACCCTACCCATAAAGTTGCTGAAGGTTTTTCGACAGTCCACGACCAGTTTCGCCCTTCTCGGGGCTCATCAGGTAGGCGCAGTCCCCGAGCTTCCGTCAACCTTATGTTCTTTTCGCATTCAAATTGCACGAAATTAGTGAAATACACTCATTTGCAAACAAATTTGGTTTTGCGGGAGACTCACCTGGAACCGAACTGAATCTTGCGTTTATGATGTCTATATATGTATCGCGATATCTCGAATATCGTACTAATTGAAGCATGAGGCGGTCCGGTGCAGCACATTCAGTTGCTTGAAAACATCATAAATAAGAAATTCAGCTGGGTTCCAGGTGACTCTCCCGCAAAACCAAATGAGTGTATTTCGCCAAAAAGTGACGTACTTGTTCCACCCCCCACCCCTATAACGGATGGTTCGAAACCGTTTTTCGTTGATCACCCTGGTAGGTGAAACTCCAAATTCGCTAAATTGGTGCAGCTGATAATCGTCTATGCTGGCACTGACACGTCTGCTACAATACGAAATGCTGGAACATGTCGTGTCGTAATTTAAAATGCATCTGTTTTGTAAAGCTTAATGCATTCCTGTGTAAGGTTTGTTTACATGAGCTCACACAGCAGTACTGTAGTTACCAAAGCAATCCCAACATAAAGCACGGAGATCTCACACAACAGAAAGAGAAGGTTCGATCTCTCTATGAAGAATACTTTTGTCATACCACCCTTTAGGATGCATCAAAGTGATTGGTGAATGCAGCACCCCTGAAATTGAGTTTCCACAAGAACGTTCGACGTTGGTTCTTTAGTTTTCTACACAACCACTTGTTATTTTTTCAGGGGGAATTGCCAGGCTCTCGTCTACACACTCAACTGTTGGAAAATGCCAAGTCTTATTTCCAAGACTGTGTATCTGAGCCAGCCCTTTGCCAGAGTGGTGATCTGGCCGGTCGTTTGACGTACGTGATTCAAAGGTTTCGCCTGTTTTTTTAGTTTTTTAAAAGTTTTTTGGTGCAAGATGGCCGAAGTGGTTAGGGCGCGAATTTACTGACCGGAAGGTGCGTGGTTCGAACCCGACCTCTGCCTCTGGACTTCCCCTGTCTAGGCTTGGGCAACCTGGCAGTATTCCAGCCCTCTTGCAACCTTAGAGTGGCATGGCAGTTAGGCACCGAAAGGGTGCTACTGCTGAACGATTTCTTTTCTTTTTAAAAGCTTTAGCCCTTATCATCTCGTTGATGTGTACAGGAGTATTTGAGGGTGGGTTACCGAATTAGAGTGTGTGCGGTTATCCACGACCTCACATTTTTTTCCAGGTTGTTGACCGTTGGTTCGCAATATCACTGTTAATTTTACGGTTTCTCTTAAATTCTCCAATTAGATAACGTAGTTGATACACATTGAACTTACATGTTAGCATTCCCGTCTCACCTAAACCTAAAGTGGTCATTGCATATTGACAGTATTAGGAGCCGTATTCCGTTATCATGTGGCTTTTGATGCTAACTAGTTTTGCGTTACAATCTGTTCACTTGAGTAAGCCCATTTTTGGCTGGTGTCAGCAATACAATAGACATAGTTTAGAAAAAATAAAGTCCTATAGTAGATAGGTTTACCTGGTGCGTTTTGAACGTACGTCAGCAAGCAACCTTACAGCGCCGACTCATTGGTAACAACATTGTTCTGTGACCGAATTGATTCAGATTTCGATTTGTTTGTTTTTCTGCTCTTCTTTGTGTCACCGCTCCTGTTGTCGCCCTAGCCTTCCTTACCGTGCCCCGGCCAGCTTTGAAAACCATCGAAATGTACAACAAATGGGGAAACTTTTGTTCAATATCGGAAGTTGTTCAACATGTTTATTGACCGTTTGTTGGTTCTACGGTACCTCAGTTGCACGTTGCTAAAGTGTCGGTATTTGCAGCACGCTTTGAACGCTGTGGTAATGGCTGTCCGTGTGAGAACAAACCATGGATAAACCAGCCTCGGGCTATCCACATCGAAGTTACGTTTACTGTCAACTGCATGCTCGTAAACTAACGAACGTCGTTTGACTGTCACTGAGCGAAATATCTCGGCTACATCATGGCTTTCTCCCCTTTCATAAATTGTGTCTGGGAACTGTGCGCCGCTTGAGCGTGATTTACAACCAAACACTTTCTACATCACTTAGGACTGAGTTCAAGGTGTCGTCCCGCAAGCACCCTTTAGTTTGCGAACCAATGCTAATGAACCAAAGATATACTTTATGTTCTCTGATATTCTTGTTACATGGCTACCCGCCAGCGCTCGCCTGTAGTTTTGCGCGGTTGTTGTTAGCCAATACAACAACAATCACCATAGAGCGAGCACGACGAGGAGTGGTTGTGTTTGGCCTCTACTGGATTCTGTCTCCGATAGGAAATTAATCCGTTACGTGTGTTAGCTGGAGCCGATGACAGCTCTCATAACTGTCCTCTTGTGTTAGTTGTTTCCTGCACAGCCTCACTGCTACGATAATTTGCTACACTAAACGGGGAATGCCTCAAGTTTCGCACCTTTTCATGAATCTGTTTATGTTCATGGATCGACCACTTCTCAGTATTCGACCAAAGGTCCATTGACGGTACGCAGAGCGATAATCGTTGTGACATGGGCGATAAAGTAGAAACTGTAATCGGCCGTGCGTAATTCCCGTACTCCACCTATACGCAGCTAAGGTAGCTCATCCACAAAATACATGCGCAAGCCCATTCGATCAGGCACAGTCAAGTCACTTGCTTCGGGTGTAACGGTGTGTACTACTGATGAAGCATGTGAGTAGTCCATGGTTAGGTTTCCAAGCTCCTGCGCATATGATGGAAGATGAAGGTTGTTACGGCAGTTGTAGAACCGCTTTACGGTGTTTGTTTACTATTGCTTAATAGTAAACGAATGCCCAGGAGGGTTCAAGGAGACGCGTGAGAATATGCAGTTTAAAAAACTTTTTCCATGTTCCGTGTCTGATGGCTTGTAGCTGCCTAGTTCTTGTTTGTTAATATGTAACTTCGCAGCGAATGGCTTTACTCCTTTCACAAGTAGCGTGGTCGAACAAGCAACCGTAGATCGGCTAGCCTGACAGGTTAATTAGGGATTAAGGAACTTGGCACATCTGTGTTGGGAATGTCACATCATCCATGTACACGATCAGTGCACACTGCTAGATCATCTTAGTTCAAACCTCTTCCAACGGTCACAGTCAAAGCTGTAAACCAGCCGCCCATTGACAGACAAACTGACTGCCTTGTTCAGTTATGTGACTTTAAAACTCCATGCATTTCGGATAATCACCATAATCATAATATCGGTTCACCTGTGGCACTTTTTAGACGCGTGGCTGCCACACAACCGGAGGAATATACATGCACGTGTGTAAAATGTGCGACCTCAATCGTCCTTACGATTGCGACTCGTTTATATGCCTGTATTTTTCATCCACAAACTTCACATGGTCTCGTTGAAACCTTGTCTCACGCTATACGCCACCAACTTGCGGCGCTGTCAGTCTATGTGTTCTGATGGGTGCAGTCAAACAGGTCAGTGCGAATAGGTCGGTTCGTCCCGTTCGCTTACTCGTTACAATAATAAAAATTATAATGATAAAATATAACAAAATAGAACGATATAAAAATAGAAGCACTCGCTGTAGCCTCATGACATTTTCCCCATTTTGTTCCACAATGGACGCACGTACAATAGACGAACTGGGGCCACAAGACGACGATTGTTTTGACAAATGGTGAATGAGTGTCACATTTATTTAGACAGTAATTATGCGGTCTCATTGTATGAGCTGTTGTCGAGGCGAATCCGCACTTCTTGTTTTTGTTTTCTGAAAAAGTCTTTTATTTCCTCTAATGAGCCACAACTGATATTCCTCTTTTCTTGCTTTCGGGCAACTTAGTCGTACTCCGGCCGATATCCTGTGGCAACTGCTGGGTTCAATCGAAAACGACCCATCGTTGATCCCGTCTGTTGCAGAGTTTCAAGAACGGGAGGCCCAACTTCCACCAGCTGATGGTGAGTCCTTTTTCCATGAGAAGTATTCTCTTAAATTTTCACCACAAGGAACCTTTCTAGGTGAGTGGATAAAGAGCAGTGCCCGCCAGTATGCACTACCAAACTTCGACTTATTTCGGCACATTCGTCGTTCATGAGTCATCGCTGGTAGTTAGGACCAGAATTTTGGATGATGAGTAGTTACCCAATTGTCATGGGTGTCATGTAGGCCATAGAATTGTTTTTCTACGGTCAGTGTAAGTTCGGATATCAGCTTCATATCAAATTATGGCATTTTATCGGTGTGATTCTCTACCTTTAGATGAATCCTGGCTATTCGTGACACCGGACGAATTGGACGCCATGTTGGCCTCACACTCAAATGCCACGGAAGATACCATGAACACTTCTATTGCAGATAAACTTGACAGATTTATGAACGCATCCTCTTCTTTTCAAGGAGTCGATCTTTCGCCGGTGAAGTAAGCTTACTGTTTTTGAAATCACTGACATACGGTGTCCAGTGGCCGTTTACGTCGAACTTTTATTCGTCTTGATGGTATACCTCCCCCTTTGAATAGATTATTCTAGGGGATACCAAAATGTTTGTACTCGGAATAGTCATTAATACGAGTGATATCACAGCTCCGTTGACTGAAATTATGGAATTTAATGTGTCCGGGTGTTTTAAAGTCTGACTTGCAAAGAAATTAGTAAAAGTTACGATGTTATGCGTTGATACAACCAAACCAGTATCATCCGATCTGTATTTCATGTTTCATTCAGGCTAACCAACCCACTTCAAAACCAGGGGGAAGGTCAGGGATGGATTAAAGCTATCAGGAATTCATACATTTTCCGTCGAGTTCATGTAAGAAATTAATTGGGGTCCAACCTAGATGTTGTGTAGTGACTAGTGTCTACCTTCGGATACCTACTCAAAGAGTAAGGAGTAAATTCAAGGAAAAATACTTCTATTCTCCTAGTACTTGTAGTTATTCCTAATGTTGGATTTGTCAAGTTCCTTGGATCAGCACTGCGTCTTTCAGCCATATCTGATGTGACAGTAGGTTCTTTTGATTTTGCCTCCTTTTACCCAGAGTATCTTCTCCGTCAACTAATTATGTTTCTTACTCAAAAACTAGGTCTGGAGGGAAGCGCAGGATATCCCCTTTGACGGGTGATGCTGTTGGGGAGAGCGAAGACTCTTCACATGATGAGACTATTTCAGATGACTCCGAGGATGGCTATTCTGAACAACTGCCTCGCTCCCAAAACACCAGCACAAACGAATATACTGGACGGACAATGAACATGGCAGATATGATGCGGTCATTGGTGAATAAAATAGGTGAATTACGTGTACTCTGCTTGTACTCTGCCCATGCCGATGAGTGATTCAAGAGTCACGTGGCCAATGGCCTCCCTGTATAGATTCCCACTAGCACGGAGTATAATGAACTGTTTCGGTTTGTCACTTCCAATACATGGATGCCTTTGCTTCACATTACACTATAGATGAGTAAGGATCTAAGCCTACACTGTCTTTAGTTGTTGCACTGTACCGAACAAACTCGAATCCTTGCTGAAAGGACTCGAGTCATCCAAGAGCACTTTTTTAAGTATTTACACATAGCCAACAGTCTTATCCTCCTCTATTGCTTCACTAGACGGTTCTCATCCGGCACTGCCTGCGTCACTCATGGGAAACCAGAGCACCCAAGTCGATCAGAAGACCCGTTTCAGCGACCGTGTGCGCCCAACTGTTAAGAAATCAGATTTAATGAGCAGCTCAAGTGAAGATGACTTATTAGATCTCTACGGACCTGGAAGCGATGCACGATTGGACAGATTTGACAGGACCTTGCAACCGTCATCTGATGATTCCTCTTCTGATCTTCAGAAGTGGAAAGCCCCGGTGCGACATCAGGTGAGTTTGGGTATTGACTTGGTACAACCAAATTTGTACCACCTGTTTTTGCATCTGCTAGTCGACTGCGATCTGAAGAACTGCTCATCCACAGTCTACCACTATATTTGATCTTTCCCAATACTAACTTCTCAACGAAGCTCAAGTAGGCGTATTATAGTCTTCCAGACGATACTTTCCCGAATCAACATTGGACGAATTGCTGAGTCGTTTGAACAAGAGTGAACGATCAGCAGTATGATTTACTCACACTTACATGGGATATATAACCATTTACTCCACAGTCACGGAATCCATATCACGTAGTCACGTGTTGGCCGGCCTCCTTAATGACCACTTCTCAGATAGGAGTTTCACTCATTACGTGGAATTGTCCTGGGACTTGTGAATTTTCATCGCAGATTTCGTACCGTAGGCGAAATCAATCTATGATGAAAAACCGAACGGTGCTGTACAGTTGTTTCAATCAATTCTTAGGTGGGCTTGTAGGACGAAATCTCGATTGAGAATTCCAAAATATCTTCATACTACCAACGACCTGTAAGTAGCTCAGAGGAGGAATAAGTTCACTTGATGAGTGAAACCTCCATCTGGAATGTGTCGCTTCAGGTGCCAGTGAGCACGTGAGTGATCACGTCATGTGGATTCCTGTCTAATGGCGAGTTAATCACATTGCTGGTTAGCCGCTCTTGGCCTAACGGTTAACTGCTCAGACTACCATGCGGCAGTCCGCGGGTTTAAGACTCCTCAGAGATTTGCGAGATGCACATTGCTGGTGATACTCAAAAAAGCGTTCAGCTGTAGAACCCTTCCGGTGCCTAGCTGCCATGCCACATGAGGGCTGGGATACTGCCAGGTTGCCCAAGCCTAGACAGGGAAGTCGAGTGGCGGAGGTCGGATTCGAACCACGAACCTTCCGGTCAGTAAATTCGCGCTCTAACCACTTGGGCAGCGGCACAGTGTCTCCGGGCTGTTTGGCTCATATTAGTTTCGCTTGCAGGATGAAACCGCCATTGAAGAACAATATTTGCATGATCGACTTTGACTATTCACCCTTAGGTTCGCCGAGAACGTTCGTTGGCTACTCCCTCTTGGAATCATCCAGCTTTGTCATTGCATAATGTACGCCATTCGATTACGAGTAAACCGCAAACAGCGTTGAGATATTCCGTGCTCAACAACTCCCCGTTCTTGTTCCCGATAGGAACTACTGGAATGAGCGCAAAGGAGAAGTTGCGCACTGCTGCTGCTTTACCGCATGATATTTGAGAACAGTTGGTGGATACAGCTTACAGTGTGTGCGTTACTTTGTGATCGGATTCGCCTCAATGCTGCTGTATACGGGTGTTTTTTATCCGTGTTGCTGCTCGAAGCATAGACGCAACCGAGCTTTCTCCAATCGCTTGAAAATCTACTGGATCATTTGCCGCTTTTCGCCCGGTGTCATCAGCCAGATCATTTGTCGTATACAGCAGGTCGTATAAGGGAAAACGGGTAACTGCTGGCGTCTCCCTTATTCCTCTTTCACATATTCGCTCTTCTCACCCTCGTCACTCCGTTTCTAGCGACATCTCCGTACGTCCATTCTGGTGGACTGATATCTGTCAACTGTTCACTAGCACTAGTTACAGTATCTGCGGTTGGCTCGGCGGCAGATACAGTCGCTTCGAAATCATCCTCCAAACCCCGTCACTCAGTTCACCTGGTAGCCTTCAACGTTTCCACTCTGATACAAGCTACACAACACACTGCTCTTGAAGAAATGCTAGACTCTCTTTCTATTGATTTGTACTGTCTGTCCGAAACGTGGATGCAAGTCCCAACTGTGGTCTTGCACTGACTTCCTTGTCGGTTTCTCCCCGCTTCTGGTTGCACAACTATAGTGATTTGGAAGCCGCTGCTAGTAGTTCTGTTGTTCTGAGTCGGCGAGCTTGAGAGCATCTGGCTGAATAATTGACCGTTGATAGTCGCTTCTACGCGGTTCCGTTGGCAACGCTCCTATACTGGATGCCTGTTCATTGTATCAACTCAAAGACAGTTTTACAACTATTTGAGCACCTTTTTGTGGCAGACCATGAGCTCATCTTGTTGTGGTCATCGGGTATATGATGTCGCAAGTAGGTAGACTTGGAGCTGCTGAGGCTCCTCTGGGTGTTCATCCTGTGCTGGAACCGAGACACACGGACAACTGTAAACAACTGCTGCAGTTATGTGCTAACCACAGACTGTTTCTGTGCAGTACTACTGAGAACCAAAGCAGCTTGGCCACATGGTGCCCTCGAAGGAGAGTCAATCTGCAACGCAGATAGGGCACATCGACATTAACTATTGGTAGCTTGGGTGAATTACTGGTTTCCACTTGTTCTATGACACCATATGGATTGGGATCGCGCGCTTGTTCGTTGCTGCTTCTCGCTACGCCTTTCAGAGGCGCGCAAGATTCGCACACCTCGCCTGGCGATTGAGAAGATCTCGCACCCTGATATGAAACAAGTCTATCAGAAACATCTGCTAAAGTCACTTTTGGACAACACATCATCATCATTATTGTCATCGACAGCGTGACATCAATTTTAAACGCTGATGCTTCGCTGGTGTATAAAAAATACACAACACACTTCAGTCCACTGTGAGAGCAGTAGCAGCTTGTTGTTTTGCTTGATTTATGGTGCAGACAGCCAGGTAGACTTGGCTTCGAGGCTTGGAGATTGATTTTGAGATGCCTCAGGATATCGACGCCTGATGACGTGCAGATGTTGCTTGCAAAATCGATGCAGGACAAACGGAGTCATCAGCTCTTACTGCTTCGCCTACAATGAGAGAGTTATCAATGGGGCTAGGAACTGGGAACAAAAGGTATAGTAAAGAGAAGGAAGGGAGGCGTCAGCAGTAGCCCATTTTCGCTTACCTGCTTTGCTGTATGCAACAAGTAAGGCGACCCGACTGATAGCACCACGTGACGGCTGATGTAGCATAAGTTTGTATGTTTGCATGTGTTTGTATGTTTGTATGTGTGCAATTTATGGTGTATGTGGTCTGGGATACTGCCGGGGCGTCCACACCTAGATAGGAGGACGATTAGAATCCTCAACCAAAGCCTTTGGCTGAAAAGCCTGACGGCAAGGCAGTGGCGTTTGGCGTGAGATGCAAATGCACTTCAGTTTTTGCAAAACAAGTTACCATATATGTTTCAACTACCAACCTTGGGGACTAGGTTTCTGTTAATCAGACCTCAACCTGATATGAGATACTGCGAGTGTCGCGCGGATACCACCCAGTATACAAACCGTCACACCGCGTCAAAGTCCAGTCTTTTGGTGACGGGAACAACACGTTTTCTGATGTTGACCCCTACTGGTAGGTATCATCTGCAACCATATGTGCTCCGCTTGTGAGGTGGCCCAACCAACCAGACGTAGGCACTGAACAACACCCTGAAATTGCTCGAAGCTCGGACACATATCCCTTCTGATCGAGAGTACACTACCACTCGACGAACTGTCTTACTTCATTTGAAAAATATAATCTTTGCGAATGGAGAAACTTTATGGATCCAGAATGCTGAAGAGGTAAAGGAGGCGAGAAACTCTGGACGTAAACTATTCCAGCCAATACGCGCAATGGTCCCAAAGGAGTCTCCAGTGTGCTAAACAATCATTGATAGCAATCGCTCGTTTATCTGTTAAAAAGAGCGCCTGAATCGTTGGATTGAACACTTTCGAGACTGATTCAACATTTCACCTGCGATTTCTCAGCCGTATCCCCAACAGGCAACACAATCCCGGACAGTGAACCTGGAAATTCCGACAGCTTCGGAAATAAGCGAATGCATTTTGTCCCTCAAGCGTCAACGAGCTTCTGGTCATGACGAACTACCACCCGTTCTGCTCAAAGATCGTGGTAAAATACCCAGTTAGTGCTTATCTGGATGTTCCGTTACTTAAAGACTGTGTTCGGTTCTATTCCTTTCAACAGATTTACGCAGTAGGGTATGCCCCACTGGGCACGTGACATTACATGGTTAGCTCTCCAAAAACTCCTGCAAGCAGTGTCTTCCAGCAAGGATGTCCACTTCATTTTGTTTAGCATCCTTATGGGTGAGATAATGAGGCGAGCACTGTAATGACGGCTGATGTAGCATAAGTTTGTATGTTTGCATGTGTTTGTATGTTTGTATGTGTGCAATTTATGGTGTATGTGGTCTGGGATACTGCCGGGGCACCCACACCTAGATAGGAGGACGATTAGAATCCTCAACCAAAGCCTTTGGCTGAAAAGCCTGACGGCAAGGCAGTGGCGTTTGGCGTGAGATGCAAATGCACTTCAGTTTTTGCAAAACAAGTTACCATATATGTTTCAACTACCAACCTTGGGGACTAGGTTTCTGTTAATCAGACCTCAACCTGATATGAGATACTGCGAGTGTCGCGCGGATACCACCCAGTATACAAACCGTCACACCGCGTCAAAGTCCAGTCTTTTGGTGACGGGAACAACACGTTTTCTGATGTTGACCCCTACTGGTAGGTATCATCTGCAACCATATGTGCTCCGCTTGTGAGGTGGCCCAACCAACCAGACGTAGGCACTGAACAACACCCTGAAATTGCTCGAAGCTCGGACACATATCCCTTCTGATCGAGAGTACACTACCACTCGACGAACTGTCTTACTTCATTTGAAAAATATGATCTTTGCGAATGGAGAAACTTTATGGATCCAGAATGCTGAAGAGGTAAAGGAGGCGAGAAACTCTGGACGTAAACTATTCCAGCCAATACGCGCAATGGTCCCAAAGGAGTCTCCAGTGTGCTAAACAATCATTGATAGCAATCGCTCGTTTATCTGTTAAAAAGAGCGCCTGAATCGTTGGATTGAACACTTTCGAGACTGATTCAACATTTCACCTGCGATTTCTCAGCCGTATCCCCAACAGGCAACACAATCCCGGACAGTGAACCTGGAAATTCCGACAGCTTCGGAAATAAGCGAATGCATTTTGTCCCTCAAGCGTCAACGAGCTTCTGGTCATGACGAACTACCACCCGTTCTGCTCAAAGATCGTGGTAAAATACCCAGTTAGTGCTTGTCTGGATGTTCCGTTACTTAAAGACTGTGTTCGGTTCTATTCCTTTCAACAGATTTACGCAGTAGGGTATGCCCCACTGGGCACGTGACATTACATGGTTAGCTCTCCAAAAACTCCTGCAAGCAGTGTCTTCCAGCAAGGATGTCCACTTCATTTTGTTTAGCATCCTTATGGGTGAGATAATGAGGCGAGCACTGTAAAGTCATGTTGCATGGCGCACAGTCTCTGAATGCACCTATGAGAATTCAAGGAGTGACACTGGAGGTCGTGCAGCACTATACATCTCTTGGAAGTTGCATTACCTCTGATGGCAGTTTGATAGACGAAGTGAACGAGTGAATCTCGAAGAATTGAATTGCGTTTGCCAATTTGCGCCACACGTGGCGTCAAAAAAGCCTCTCACTGGGTTTCAAAGGACGTGTGTATCAAACTGCAAAGTGGCCTGTATTGTTGTTCGCTACGAGAATTGGCCAGATCCGGCGTAGGATATGAATTTTTCAGGTCCTTAACCACCAACTTCTCAGGACTATAACTAATATTGGCTGAAATCGGCGAACCCGCAATGAGTTGCTGAGGAGACCGGTTTTTGTTGGGGCACAGGTGGATACCTGGAAGAATGTGTCCAGCACTGCAAGCTGAGACGGTTGGGTCATGCGTTACGCATATGGAATTACCGCCTCCCGAGACCAACACTGTTTTCTTTGCCTTATTCGGGAACCCAAGCTGTCACCTTGTCGTGGTCTTCGGGCTTCTGTGCTGCAAGGAATCTTGCGGGCTATACCAGCTGGAACTTAGTTCCCAGAGGTTCATCCACGCCAGGAAGGCCAACGAGGATTAGCCCCACAAGGAACAGGGAATCACCGTACTGCGAGTAATCATATTACGAGGTGGTCTAGAGTTAAAGTCGTACTGTCCTCTGCAACAGGAGTGTGAAAGCAATAAGGCGTTTTCTCCGGGCGACCAGCGTGTCCATATTTTTGGAAGCAGCGAAGCTGCTTTCCCCCGAGGAAGGACGAGTTATAAAAGGTCAGCCCCGAAGAACGCACATTCCGATCGCCCAACGGCTGATCGTGACCGCTGGCGCATTATTCAGTACCGTATTGAAACACTTTTAAGACTAAAGAGCCCACTGCTGCTCAAAAGGCACCTGCTGTGCGCAGCCACGTCAGGAGTAGGACAGTAATGCCCTACTCCCTGCGTCCTCGGGCCAGGCCGGCCCCCTACAGCCAAGTAGGTCAGACTATTGAGTCATTGGCTCCGGGAAGGGTCCCCAAGAAAACCCTGACAGCCGCTGTCTCGCGGTTCAGACTCTTGAGTCAGAGGCTATGGGCAGGGTCCCCGAACAAAACCCTACGTTCTCCCACTACCTTATGGGTCAGACGTTTGATTCAAAAGCTCAAGGTGGGGTACCTCGTCTAATCCCCCTTCCTCGGCCCGGTCAACCGGGAAGTATCATTTGCCCTTGCAGCTCTTCACTGACCGGCCTTATTCGGGGTGGTGAAATGCTAAAGATGGACAGACTTTGACATGAACGAAGGGAACAACGGGTATTGCTTAAAATCTGGATGCCGTTGGTGCTGCTCGCCTTCCAGGATGAGGTCTACGTGATCCTCCCTGTGGTTGTGTGGAGACACTGAAAGATATACCAGGTGATCGGTGCCAGAGGCGTCCATGCTCTCAGTTTTGATCCAAGTTGTCTGACTGCGTGTTTTACGTGTAGGCAACTCGGATGTTTTTTTTTGTGGGCTAGTCATGCGTCCCTTCGATTATCGTACTTTTTCTTTTTTCGGGTTATAATGTTTCATTGAGATAAATCGATATGGTTGTATGGCAGTGAACGCCAGTGTTCTCGCCTGGTGTTTCTGTTAATGATCCTTATGACTCACAGCTCACAAACCTCAAACGGCCTGGTTTAGTAGAACAAACCTGTCGCCATATGGGTCTTCATCTGAGTGGTCGCTGCTTGAAGAGTTAGTCATTACCATTTATGTCTAATGCGTTTCTGCACGCTTGAGACTGAGTAGCGCTCTAATACTAGTAAACCAAACATCTAATCGTTCACTCCGCTCCAGCTTTTAGGGTCCAATTGTGTCATTTCCAGCAACTTTAAATCGAAAGCCACATTTTCTGGCCCACTCTAGGGCTAATGAGGTGCAAACAGTGTAGCTACCGGAAGGATTAAACATCATTACTTCTCTGTATTTATTGATATCATGATTTATAATTATTATTATTATTGTGTTTATTTATATTATTGTCTGTATATTCTCCAGAAAAAACCTCACAAGGCGTCAAAGGAAGCCCAGAATAGCACCTCCTTGTCCCAGATTATCCCTCCTAACTTTACACGTAGGACAACAAAGAGTGTCGACTCAGAATGTTCAAGTGATGAAGAACCGACTGCCGGTCAGGTTGGATGGTTCAGATCTTCTAATGGGCGTTCCAAGAACACAGCTCCCGTTGAAGAACACAGTCCACATGACGAGATAGGGGGTTCCGAAATGTGCCTTATTCGGGGTGGTGAAATGCTAAAGATGGACAGACTTTGACATGAACGAAGGGAACAACGGGTATTGCTTAAAATCTGGATGCCGTTGGTGCTGCTCGCCTTCCAGGATGAGGTCTACGTGATCCTCCCTGTGGTTGTGTGGAGACACTGAAAGATATACCAGGTGATCGGTGCCAGAGGCGTCCATGCTCTCAGTTTTGATCCAAGTTGTCTGACTGCGTGTTTTACGTGTAGGCAACTCGGATGTTTTTTTTTGTGGGCTAGTCATGCGTCCCTTCGATTATCGTACTTTTTCTTTTTTCGGGTTATAATGTTTCATTGAGATAAATCGATATGGTTGTATGGCAGTGAACGCCAGTGTTCTCGCCTGGTGTTTCTGTTAATGATCCTTATGACTCACAGCTCACAAACCTCAAACGGCCTGGTTTAGTAGAACAAACCTGTCGCCATATGGGTCTTCATCTGAGTGGTCGCTGCTTGAAGAGTTAGTCATTACCATTTATGTCTAATGCGTTTCTGCACGCTTGAGACTGAGTAGCGCTCTAATACTAGTAAACCAAACATCTAATCGTTCACTCCGCTCCAGCTTTTAGGGTCCAATTGTGTCATTTCCAGCAACTTTAAATCGAAAGCCACATTTTCTGGCCCACTCTAGGGCTAATGAGGTGCAAACAGTGTAGCTACCGGAAGGATTAAACATCATTACTTCTCTGTATTTATTGATATCATGATTTATAATTATTATTATTATTGTGTTTATTTATATTATTGTCTGTATATTCTCCAGAAAAAACCTCACAAGGCGTCAAAGGAAGCCCAGAATAGCACCTCCTTGTCCCAGATTATCCCTCCTAACTTTACACGTAGGACAACAAAGAGTGTCGACTCAGAATGTTCAAGTGATGAAGAACCGACTGCCGGTCAGGTTGGATGGTTCAGATCTTCTAATGGGCGTTCCAAGAACACAGCTCCCGTTGAAGAACACAGTCCACATGACGAGATAGGTGGTTCCGAAATGTTCTCTTTCAAGGACTACTTTGCACTGATGGAGGAAGAATTGTTCGGTGAACCAGTTAGTTCTGGTCGGTGTCGTTCTACGGCTGCTTCAGCGCGGCGTCCCGGAAAGAAGAATAGCTTGTCTCACCGCAAGGTTGGTTTCTGGTCTGTTTGTATTCGCTGGTTGCTCGTAAAATTGATAACGTGTTGTTCCTTGGGTGTCTCCGATGTTCTTTGAAGCTGATTTCTTCGCGTTCGTCATTAGTTTAGCGGTTTGATGTTCTATATCTGAAACTCGCGATCATGGGTTTGTGGCCTTGAGGTACTCCAATCACCGACTTACCGCCGTTCTTACCGGTGTGCATCAGTATCCAAATGTTCCGGTCCACTTGCCTTCTTTCGGTCGTTACTAAATATAGTTGACTTAAACCACTTCGTACTTCTAGATCACATTGATGACTGCACTGTGCTCAAGAATCTAGCTGCTCATTGGTCTGGCACAATAGTTTGAAAACGATAAAACTCAATTTATTCATTTACTGAGCATTACAACCTTCATGATATAGTGTGCGTTTTTGTGGTGCTGAGCAGTTTATTCTTGCGGTTCCCGCCAGGCTTACGTTGACTTAATCTGCACATGTTTTGACCTTCACAGTGCTACGTTTTGAATTACGAGCCATCGTTTATGGTTTCAAGGTCCTAGTCTGCTCTCATTGATTCTCCAAAATCATAGGAGTGAAACAGCCTACGTATCTACAACACTAACTCTACACCACTGTTTTTTTTCATCTGTCGTTGTAACTAGGCTTTTTTAAATGCAATGTGGACAAGAAGTCGTAAGGAACGGAAACCCTTCCTTTGTCTCATTGATCTCCATGAACGGAGTGTTATCAGTTGTTGAGGTCATTTTTGTTTTCGGCTTTCTCGTGGAGAGGATCTATCCGAATTTAAGGTAGTTCCAAGTCTGGAATGTGTTCGCCTAATAAAGAGAAGACAGTTTGTGACTAGGATTCGGTGTAAGTCTAATGTAGTTTGTTGATCTCGACTTTGCGGAACAAGCGTCGGAAGTTTTTCCAGACAGGAAGTCTTACATACCAAATCAATAGGTTGTTCTGTTGTCAGTGGCATTCACAAAACAGACCGTTGCGTTGATGAAAACAGTTTTCAGACATGAGACCTGATCTATACACTCCGCCTGATATTTCGAATGTCCCATCTCTCTCATTTCAGAAGCCTCGCCACCGCCATTCCAACGCTGTTCTAGCCCAACCCGAGCAGTTTGATGTATCAGAGGGTGACTATCAGTTGAACTCTGAAGACAGTGAGACTGAACTGAGTCCTGACCTGGAAAATCATGTGACTCAAAATCTTTTTACATCAGCTGTTTCTTCTGGACAGATGCCGCATGCGCCCACCGGGGCAGCCGCTCAGCTGTTTACCGCTCTCGGTATACCAGTTCATCAGATGGCCGCGGCAGTTTCCTCCAAGGCTTTCAAAGGTGGTCATACACCCCGGAACGAAAACTGATTTCATCGCCATCTTTGCAACTGTACATATAAATAGTTTAGTCTCCTCTTTTGTCTCATTGCATCATTCCTAACACATATCACCTTCCCCCGCTAAGCATAACTTCTGCTTCATTTTTCAATTCAACTTGAAGACAATCAATTGGAAGAAAGGATCAACATGACTTCAAGTATGGCATTAAACTAGATAAACTTTTATTGTGCACGAGAAAGCTCACTGCGACCGCTAAGTGGGATTCTACGTTGGATGTATCACTCAGTGGGGTAGCGTTTTTGCCTTCCTCCGAGTCGGAACGGGTTAAAAGTAGCCAGTCCGTAATCCTCAGACGCCCTTCTCCCAAATGTTCACCGTGATCACCGGCATATGTATTAATACGGTGAAAACACTCTGAGCCTTCCTTGCGGTTCAAAACGTATTTGCTGTATACAGCAGTATCAGATGTGATATTCATGCTTTACGGTCAACGCCCTCGCTCACGGCAGACCTTGGCGCGCTGGGATTCCGATGGACTCTCTCAAGAAAACCTTTTCTTCGTTCGGCGGAGCTGGAAGCGAAAGGCAGAAACTGGGTAACTTCAAGCCACTGTGTAAACGATAAAATAGGGACTTCCGGACCAGAGTCGCCTTTGAAAGACATCGATAATGCATCTGGAATGGTGGTATTTTGGCCGGATGCAAGGATCGATTGATGTTCGTGCGACACCGAGACGTGAAAGACATGCTTTATATACTCACCGAGTTCATCTATTATATCCCCTGGTTTCAGGGTGGGTCTCTAATACTCAAGCAATTCAGGGGATCCAGTTATGCGAAGTCGCAACACGCCAACTCACAAATAGCTGAGCTGGCTTAGAATCGCCTTTCCAGTCGTTTGGTTTATTTTCGTCGTGGTCAATGAAAATCGGGACGCAGGTAGGTGTCTGGTGTAGTAGTCAGTGTTGAACAAGGCTCCTTGTTGAGAATAACACTGATAAATGTGAACTTTAATATCAGGCAATCAACGCACTCTGTAGCCAATCGGTACCGAAAAGCCTACTAGGTTATGTTTCCAGGACCTGCCTGGTGGTTACGGCTGAAATTTTCGGAGAATTTCCAGCTACTTGGTAGTGGTCAGATCCAGAGCCACCAGATATCGATCGTGCTTAAAAAGCCTTGATTTCGTTTCGAAATAATTCTAGAGTTGGACGAGAAAATGCCAAATGTAACACATTACATGACTCAAGATGTATGAAAGCATACGAGGCTACTTCAACAGCTTATTTAAGTCTACCCTCATATAAAACCATGAAGCATTTACTATCTGTTTGGCCACGAAACCCAAAAAATATGCTGGTTTCCGTTTCAGATGAACGGGAATAAATGTACAAACGACGCCAATTCCCTCTCTATTTAATGCGGTACTAGTCCAAATTATGAGTATCTCACGCCTGACTCTTAACAGGCTTATATGAGTTTGTCTACTGACATTTCCTTTCAATTTTAAAAGGGATTCACGGCTTCGTATGCAGCAGCACAGCCAACTCCACGCAACCCAGTTGACTTGTCACAGTGACTCACTGAATGTTGATAAGTGAGTTCACGTCTAAACCAAGCCAGCCAACTATGGACATTTACATACTTCGTCCTCGAACTTCATTATCGTACTTATTCGTAGCGTAAAGTTGTCTAATTAAGTTGCTTCTTTACCCAGGTTTATCAACTTCAATGATAACCGAGTCAAGCGTCTTTAGTTTGCAAATAGTAGCAAGTTAGTTAACAAGGTCTTTCAACATGCGCCTTGTGTGCGAAAATCTACTGTAGTTAGCCAACAGAATAATATATTTCTCGTCTTTGATCAATCATGTAAGCCGAAGCATAGTACTGTATTTTCTCAATTTTGATTGTTCCTTGGAGGGTTCACCGAGTTTAGAAACAGCTTTGGCTTCTGCTTCTCTCTGTGGCAAATTATGGCAATATCGCTGCAGTAAAATTGCGTCACACCAATAAGCATTTGAAAGACAACGGCCTGCACCGAACAGAGAAGGTACTACAATCTGTTTATTGCAGAGTGGGGTTTTCTTTTGTTGAGAGTGCCTTCGAAACCGGTTGTAGATCCTTCAGACTTCATGCGTTTCATATTTTAACCTCACTGTAATTCGCGCATTTTCGCCGGAGTCATACTCACTCTTAGCCCATAACCAATGTGCCAATTGGATCTGATGGTACTTGCCCTGTCCTGGATCGGGGGATAAGCCCCACTATCCGTTCATCTGAGTGATTGTCGCTAGCTTTCCGTCAAAGCCTGCGATTTGTGCAGGTGCTAATCAAACCCTGTTTTTATTGATATACGACTTAAGTGTTGCAATATTCTGTATGGCGTGTCTCACTCCACACACTTCATGCAAAAATAGAAATACTACCCGGAGCTTTGACAGTGTGACTAACATGTGTTTGGCTGTCGTTTGTTCGGAACGACTGGATGTGTAGTTTAGCAAGATGGCAAAAAGTCCTTAGCTTGTACATACCTGCTAGTAAACCAAGGTCAGTAAGGAAGCCTATAAGAACAATGTTTACGATGTGCCCAGTGCTCTTGCGAAGAAAATGAGGCAGTCTATTGACTGGTAACCTTACCGAAATATATCATCCTAGTGAAATGAGTATTTTTGCCTCCGCTGAGAGTGGTCTATACTCCTAATTGCTATCTGGGACATACCATTTGTGTATGTGGTGAACAAAACTAATAGAATTGTAAAGGTCTTCAGACAATATTCCCCAGACAGCAGTCTTCAACTAAGTATAAAGATCTTTCTTCTCATTGTTAGCGAAGCTCCGGCTTCAAAGCATTCTGTATGATTGGTTACCTGGATGATACTGTTGACGGCATTAGTGTTTTGTTGGCTGCTTTCATTCACTTTTAGTAAACCTTATCTGAAGGAAATCCATCAAGTTACTAGATCATCTAAAACGCATTACTGGAATGTCTACCCTTTGAAGAGTGAGTGCCCGCCATGGCCTAGGTAGTTCCATCGGTCTACTGCGGGGCTATGATCATTCTGCGACAGAAAGTGAGCGTCTGGATTGCATCTTAACTCGGGAAATTGCTTGCGCATATTCATCCTTGATAAATTTGATCACCAGGGCCTTTGAAGCAGCGTGCCTAGAGCGAAGGGGCACATATGCGAATGCCAGTCCAACTCTCGGAAGTATTACAGCAGTAAGAGAATTTATCATGTTAATCTCGTTGAGATATCTATCACCATCTGTGACAAATAGCTTTGATTTTAACTCCAAATTTTCGTGGGAGTGAATTACCGAGACAACCCATGATTTCGGAAAGAAAAGAAAATCAAATTCAGTCGAACTGCGATTCGGGACTCTCTTGCCTCAGGAGCTGGAGTACAAACAATGATTCCTGCAAAGTAATGCTAATCTCACAAGTGTATCTGAGAACTGGAACTCTGCCCGGATTACTGATGTTACGTGGGTGGCTGAAACGATGAGTTCTTGTATTTAACAATGGATGACCGTGTTTCGATCCTTTATAGGTGGCCTAAAACACTGTATGTCTCTTCTTGAGGACCCCACCGAGTATGGTGGCTTTCCGGTAAGTCTACCCTCTGAGTTACTATGCGGTAATGATTACAACCAGACCTTTTTGATTGATGGGTCAAACCGCCCTTTAATTGACACATAGAAACGAGATACCATATTTCAGTTATTCATCGTTTTTTGGCTAGCGGTCAGATGATTGGCCTCAGCTGAATTCGTGTAGGCGGATTTCGTGGGTTGCGCCAATCTCAGTCACGTCTACCCCCAGTATGGTGTGCCCATCCCAGCCACACGTAAACTACATCTAATAGACCTGGACAATTCTGGGTACAGGGATACCGTAATCACTAAATTAACTTGATTCTACTTTTAAATAATTTGAGTACTTTTTCAATCAACTGGAAAAGGTTTGGAACCGATTGAGAAATCATCGTTTCAGAAGAGCTTGATAAACAACTTCACTAACCGACAAGAGCCGTAATTGACACTCAACACTGGTCTAGCGTGATAATCTGAAGAGGACTGACTTACTGATTGGTTCCCCGTCTGCCGTATAACCTGGGCAATTTGGTGACCTCACTTGGCCTTATGAAGCTTTCGTGCCAAAAGCGAAATGTTGTCCAAATAAAAAATACCGATTGTTTATCAAGCTGTTCTGAAATTTGAGTACTTCTTCGCAAAAGTTTCAATCTTTCATGAGACTCATTATTCATTACTGACCATGGTCGAAATACCTTAAAGGCCAGAGTCTGATGCTACTCAGAAGTCCTCTGCTGTGCGCAGCCGAATTAGGCGTCAGATAGTTATGCATTACTGCCTGAGTCCTCTGTCCAGACTATTCCCCTGTAACCAAGCGGGTCAGACTTTTAAGTTACTGGCTCCGGCAGGGACCCTCAGGAAAACCTCAACAACCGTTGCCTCGTGTGTCAGACCTTTTAGTCAAGGACTGAACAGGAGGGGGCTGAACCAAACCCCTTCAATGGCCTGAACAACTTTAGAAATACCATTCGCCCTTGCAGTGCTTCGCTCAGTGACTCCTACCCATACCTTCCTCGCCCCATTCCTTATTCTTCATTCAGTTATCAATTACCCAACCGTTGCTTCGTTTCTAAGCATCTGCAAACAAAAATAGACACTTTCAAATTCAACGGATCTGTTTTACATTGCAGCTTTCATCGTCCGCATACTGTATTAGATTGACCAACAGGTCACTCTTGCTTACAACCTATTCTGCTTCTTGATCCATGTATATTCTCTCTGGGAAACGCGCAGAAGTCCCCAGTTCAGCCACCCATTTCAAACAGTCGAAACGAACGAAGATTTCTCGCTTTGGTGATCATAATGGGTTGGACTGTGGAACTTGTGCATAGCCTCAGAATTGAAAACGCTTCACTGGGCTAGGTTCCAGTAAATAAGTGCCCTTTTTTGTTTGGTTCACTGGTGTGCTTGTTGTGCCAGAATACGACAAACGGCGGCTGTGAGGCTGAGAAATATCATTTTCATGGAGTTTCAACACGGTTGATCCAGTAAACGAGAAGTAGAATGTCGCGATTCTGGGAGGGGATATCACTGCTCATCTTGGCCGACTAATTCCTGATTAAACCTCTCTTGGAGGTCGATTCGGGACTGTTATTCATCACACAGATAATTGCTGGGAGACATTTGCCAAAGTGTGCTGAAAATCGTTTGTTCCTAGCCAGCACAAACTTTCAGCGCGAGTCACCACCTGCAACCCAGCCACGGAAAAAAGTGAATCATGTGGCAATCAGCTACCGTTGAAGTGCTCTGATACGTTAGTGTCGTTCATTTTTAGTACACCACGTGACTCCGATTACGGCATTGTGAGGCGACGCGTACGTATTCGTTTCCCCTCCGGAACAAGTCGCCTGATGAAATGCCACTAAGTTTCTGCAGCTCGAAAATATCGAGTTGAGTTGGCTAAGAAGTTTCCATAACTCGATGACACAGTGGGGATTTGGATGGCGATTAGAGAAAGGATCGATACTTAAGCTTTTGAAACCATCTACTTGAGGTCGCTGGGACAACTTACGAACGTTGGCTCTCGTTATGATCAATAGCTTTGAGTGGAACCGGAATAACTGCCAACGTCATTTGAGAACAACCTCGGCTTCCGTCTAGTATCTCTAGCTTCCAGTAGATTCTCGCAAGGATTGATTCATCATGAAGTAAGTGTGATTCGCAAAAATGCAACCGGGTTTCGCCCTGGTATGGATTGCATTGATCATGTTCCCACTTCGCGGTAGTTGCCGAAGATGCGCCACTCCTTTCTGGACAAGAATGAGCGGTTTCCTCCACTGCAGGTATGTCTGCAGCTACGCTGGTCATCAGAAATATGGCAGTCTGATAATGGATGGTGTCCTTCCCAATTTAATGTCTCTTAAAATGGTCTAATTTGCCTCACCCAGTGGACGCGTATGTGCCAGCAGCAAGTTCTTTCTTGAATTCCCCACATGCGGTGGTGTAAGGCAAGGTGTCCTATATTACCCTTTCAATTTGAGCTCGTAATTGATGCGCTACTCGAACCATCTTTACCTGCCCAACATCTGGGAGCTTGTGCGATGGCGCTGAGTACACTGACGACACTGCTCTACATTATGGTATACGCCTCGAACCTGTGAAGTATCAAGTACTACTGCAACACCGGGCGGGATCAGAAGCAAACCTCATGCCTGATCGACGTTATATAAGTTCATTAATCTGGTCAGCTGAACGAGTCCCAGTGGACTCGTGAACGACGGAATGACTCCCCAAGTTTGCCGCATTCCGAAATTTGTGGTACCGGCGTGACATCAGTTTGGATATCAAAGACGGAGTAAACATTTCTCCCGTCCGAAATATCCTACCTTGAAGAGGAGATGCGACGACTAAGTGTGGAAGCCGTTCGGAAATTCTCTGGTTTTGACCACCACTGCTTCCGAAGCATTTCGTGTGTCTGGTGGGAGCAACAGTTCAGTGGTGCTGAAGTGCGCCAGATGCTCTCTGACTTATTAGCTGGTCACAATTGATAAGTCACTAACTTCGTATGCTAGAGGACCGTTCACCTCGTCAAGCACTCTTTGCCGAGCCTTGTGACGCACGAAGGTGACTGACGGGCGGTCAGTTTATTATCAAGAAATAAGAATGTCCCTACTAGTCGGTTTAATCTCTTTGGTAACTGCGGTCTCCCCGGATAGGGAGACGTTGAACGCGGTAAACCAGGGGCTAGTGACCCTAACAGATATGGATGTTACGCAGCCAATGGTGGTCTTGTATCAAAGCTGTCGCATTCGGCTCTTAGCTTTCCCTGCAACACCGGACTTCAGTTAATTAACTGGGCCATCGTCATCATCGCATAGCGTTTATCACCTTGTTTTTTATCTTCAGTGAAAAAACGGTAGCAGCTATATCCACTACACTTAAGTACACCTTTTTGTTTAGCTTGAAAACTGTACTGAACTGAACAATTAGTATGCAGAATGTGAAATTCTCATACTTCCGAACTTGCTTGACCGAAATAACGGGCGACGATGTTTCGGGAGCAAAGTTAATGACCATTTTTTCATCAGCTGTCCAGAACATAAAATGATTTTGTAAGTGCTGGTATACTCATAAATTTCGCGTTAGTTGGGTTGGTAAATCCGTCTTTTAGCTCCTCGTGTGTGAAAAGTTACAGCATGCTGGCCCAGCTACCCTCAGCAGAAAAACACCAGAGGTGGGTTCCATATGTCAGACCAGGTTCAAGTAGCACAGAACTCCAAATTTGCGAAAGCCTTTGGAAACATCCTAACAGGTAAGCAACTGAGGAAGAATCCGGACTGGTAGCGAGAAGTCCTAAGGAAAGCTTGTATGGCCCAGTTCCCTTGACTTCACATGGGATGCATTTATTTAACTTCAGTATTTTGCGCAGAAGCTGAACAGTTTGAAGCAGACACAAGTGAAGATTTTGCGAATGATTTGTTCCATCGTTTCCAGAATGTTATCTTGTTATTTTATCACTCGAGAGATCATCTGATACTGTTGAAGTGCGACGACCAAGAGTTCCAGAAGGCTCTTATCATTTTCACGTCCGTTGCTGACCTGCACTATCGTTTCCCCACTATCGTGGATGACTGATAAGAATATGGTCCAACGATGTATTGCAAAAACTACCGGCTCAATAGCGCAAAAGCTTATTAGTGATATTCAGCCGGAATAGAAGCTCTTTAGATTTATCCGTATTCAGAACAGAGAGGAGCCGGTTGTACTCTATGTCCTAAATGAATGGTCTGATCGTTCGTAGATATGCCAATTATGAATGTAAACTCAGCATCAATCAAGCTATCCTGCAGTCGTTTCGTGTGAACGTTTCATAAAAATGTTTCACCACGAACAGTTTGGCAAGATATCTGTATTTGATAGCACATTATAATCATGCCTTGACGGTAAAAATCATATTCTGTTAAAAACAACCTTAGTTGTGCAAGATCACCTAAGAACTCGTGCGCACCTTCAGCCAGCAATAGAAACGCCAACAGTTGACTGAAGGATGAACGATCTTTCGCACGACTGCACTACACAGATGACACTAATGCCCCGCAGAGCATCGACCCTTTCAAATTTCATTTTGGAGGTTGCAAGTCCCACCCACCATGTCATCTATTCCAAATACGTCTGAAAAAGCACTTAATTTATGTTGAACCAAAATCTTTACTGAAGCCGTATCCAACACATAGAGGAGTGATAAGGTTCCGTATGGTTGAGGTTCATGACGAACTTTCAAGTGAGAGTTCAAATACTTTTAAACAACATTGACTGTAGTCCATTAGGTTTCTGCAGTGAATAGTAAATCGTTGATTGTTCCTCATACTGCAAAATTCAGCTTACGTTTTCAACCAGACTTGTTTACCCATGCAGTTGGAACGTTTCCGCAGTTGTCATACTTCGGATACTTTCGTACCGCAATTTGGAGATTGAAATGTTTGCATGGCACGTGGGGGGTGGCAGAGTATAGACCTGATTGTAGCTTTCATTGCACACGCACGCAAATTGAAGTAGGTTTGAGACAGATGCAAATGAAACGAGTGGCCACGTGTTTTTAGGTGTTCTGTGATCAAAACTGTAAACGAGTGGCGCCGAAGTACATCTAAATTTCCATCCCATCTTTATGAAGTTCTACACAGCCTAGGTGGAAAAGGTGCCTCGATCAACGTGTGGTTACGAACCATTGAAAAGTTCTAAACATGCATAAATTGGCTAGAGAAATTCAGCATTTTTTTCGATATTATCTGCCAATAACTTTGCTGATAATCAACGGCTTTATTTCACCTCAGCCCATTCGATGTGGACACTAACAGTGAAAAGTCATATTACTCTGACTCAAGAGTGTTGTTATGTATCTGATATTCCTCGACCAAGCAGTCAAAGGTTGAGTTTTCCAATCTAGCAAACATGCAAATGGAATAATAGAAACAGTGTTCTGTTTTGTGTTGGATCTTCTGTGCTGGTAGTGTGGAGAATGGCAATGACCTGATTGCGGGAATCTATATTTTTTCACCAGAAGTCACTCACTTTCAAGCAGATGAAAATACGCTGCAATAAGGAACTTACAAAAGCCTGTATGGATAAAAATTATTATCGCACTGAATTGTACACACAACCATAGAACATCCATGGTGAACTGATGTGTGAGCGAACTGTTGTTGCAAATTCTGTATGGAAAATAGCTGTGGGACGGATGTCACATTCGGGTACGGACTCCAAGTGTGGTTCCGCAAACAGAACATGTATGGACCGCGTCCTCGCAGTCGTTACAGCAGAACGGAATGAAACAGCATCCGAGGCACCCGCTAAGATTAAAACAGGACAAATCAGCAACATGTCTACAAACTTTCAAAATACTGTGAGATTCTGAAATGCATAGCCTGATCATTTCGCGCCCAACGAGGGCAGCAAGCCTAATCTACAAAGTCAGTTAACAGTGAAAAAATTGACACCTAAGATTCCACAGTGTATTCGGGGAATTAATTTCACGTTTGCTGTAAACGACATACCATTTGTGCTGCCTAGTCGTATTGTAAGCCTTAACGGTCTGATTTCTGTGTCGTAAAAGACAATCGAAGCCATTCTAGGGTGGCCGGAATCACGAACACTGTCAGCCTTAGTGATAGCAACATAAAAAGTCATCAGTACATTTGTAGAAAGTAAAGCCATAGAGAATTATTTTGCTGTGATAGAGAGGAATAAACTGTTCAGCACTTCAGTATATTCCGATAGCTTAGAACATGTTGAAAGGAAAACTGATACATCCCTCTGGTATATAAACCTCTCTCTTTTGAGAAAATCAGACTCTACTTAGGAACGGGTTTGCTTATTAGATCTACAATCATAAAAGTTTCTTAATATGGCATGATAAGCATGGAAGCTGCATTATCTGCCACATCCAACAATAGGCCAGCAACATAAAACCCATCCTAGTAAAGCCACCTCGCTCCAATTCTGTAAAATTTAGCACGAAATTCGTAACTTTGAGAGACGGTTCTCAACTACCAACAAGGATCATCCCGATATTTCTTCAGACGAAGACAAGGGGACAAAATTCTTCCGAGTTCTTCTTCGTTAAGGCAGGATGCCACACAGCTATTCCATACGGGCCAGTGTTTCAGGCGATGTGAGGCAAGACTATCCGCTTTCACCTCCCCCTTCAGCTTCGACACTGACATGATTGTGGTATACTCACTCTCGACCTCAATGCCCCCAAGACATTGGCTCAAGCATATTGAGTACGCAAACAACATAGATCTATGATCCAATGCCACTGTAATGCAAGCGAAATTAAATAATCTAAATAATTCTGTCTCATGGTTCGGCATGTGCTTCACACTTGATAGCTGTGAGGTGCCGCTATAAGAATGTGTGGGCTCGACTCCCAACTTCGTGCTTACAGCCAGCTTGCATTGGCCCCGGTGGTTCAGTCAAAGATATTTACACCTGGACTAGGAATGCAGGAACAAATTTCGTAGGGCTGCATCACCAGTGTCGTAGGCCGGACGTCAACTTCCCCATCAAAGTTCGATTTTACTATGCTGTGATGCGCTCCGCATCATCATACGGTTAGAAAACTGGCCGCTACGAGCTGAGGACGTCAAACAGCTATCAGTGTTTAACCACCGATGTCTACGGAGCATCCCACAAGACTGGTGCAAACACCGAATCAGTAATACTTAGATACGTCGAATGGTTTTCGGAAGAACTATTTCGCCCCGGACAGACGAACTGATCACACTTCATAAGTTTCGCTGGCTTGGCCACGAGCTCCTTATGCCACTAGACCGAGCTCCTAAAAGGGCTCTTTCCGCACAACCACACGAAGGGTGGAAGTAAGCCAGAGGAGGTCAAACGATGACGGCAACGAAGTATGAACGCCAATACCAGTAAACGCAGCTTTATTGGTCACTGCCAACTCCACGGATGAAGACCTCGAGACCAGACACATCAATGACTCAGTAATCTAAGTTATTTTCTTCACCGCATAACTTGACTCCTGTTCTCCCCAATGAAGCGTCTACTACTGTATTTACACATCAATTGTACTAGCTATCGCTCACAATCAGTAGCTATCTAACCTGACTCTTCACACAAACATTGAACGAAAACGTCACTACTATAACAATCGCACAGCAAGTGTGCGGTTTTTAGAGCTCATGACGACAATGGAGACAATGACATCACGGTAGATAACAGATACCTCAGTGACCGGATCCTGTGAAAGTTTGTTACCAACATGGCTATGTTTCCGAACATGACTTTTAATTACACTAACATATCATTAATCATATTAACGTAAACCCTCAAAAACGGACCCACCAGAGGGAGATTATAGCACTGATGGTGGCAGGTTATCACTCTCCGTTTCCCACAAGTAGTTGAATACATTAGATTAGTTCACAGTTCACTAGGATGTGGGGAACAGGTAATGTGCCTCTTAAAAAAGTCCCACTTAATCGGAAATACCTTGCAACGTCTGTAGATCGGCTGCGCAACACAGTCTTTGTATTCCCTATAGTTATAAGTGTATAAATCTATAAAAATGTGTGAAACGTAGGAACAATGTCATAAGAATGGATCCAATAAAATGCAGGTTATGACACAGGATCACCCTTGAGAGGAACCGCTCACCTGAAGACCCATACCTTACTCCTAAGAAATGTGACTAAATATGCAATCGCTCTGAAGGAATACTATCATCTAAAGAATTTCACTCGTTCGTGCTAGAATCATAGTCTTTGGCTGATAATGTATATCCAGAAAGAGTGAAAATTCCACTGGTTGCTCGTCATGTATTTTAACCCCGCGATGCTACTGACATCTTCAATTACTATATTGTACCTAAAAATTCTTGTGTGGATTGCCTTGCGACGGGTTTACGGCTTACAGAACTTTCAGCGTAAGATATGATTCGGAAGGCATTAAATTAATTCGGTCAGCTAGCTCTTACTAATTTTCACCATCCTAGGACATTGCAGTCGTAAGTGAACGTTGGGCAAAAAAACTGGTTTTAGCCACGGACAGCGTGGATGTGAACAACGAAGTGTCGGACGATAAATAAGCCTGACTCTAGAAAAGCTCAAGTATTTTGGAAAATAACGGCAAATCTACCTACATTTAGGAACTACGGTCCAAACATCCATTCCAGGAGGCAGTGCTGAATTAGGTCGCTCTCTTACGTGATACTCTAAAGAAGTCTATCTTAAATATTCAGGCACAATGAATGAAACCGCCACCTGAAACCGCAAAACTCTGCCAGGTGATCGCCAATATCTGAGACGGCAAAGGTGAATTGGTTTCCCATCGGAGAAACCATCTCCGTAAACAAAGTCACCTCACTGCATTTCTGTTGGTTTGGCTATTTAAGAATTTGAGGGCAAATTTTGATCAGGACAAGAGTTTCCACTCAAACTAAAAAGCCGGAGAGATGATACTAATAATACTATAAATAATAATTTATAGATATTAATTAATTAATGTTAATTAATGATTAAATGCTGGGTCTGAGGGCGCAATTAGTAATGGTAGACGATACAAACCACTGGGTGTTAAGGGGTAGGATGATAAAGGTACGTTTGCTTTTGACGTTAAAGTTTTATTCACGTCAGTAAACAATGTGAGTAAATCGTGACGAAGCTATCCAAAACAGTCAGATCGAAGGAAGATTTTTTGAACCAGAGCGTTGTGTCAATTCATATACTTTTGCAACAACGCAAACCTATCCGCACCTGAAAAGCTCTCGAATGCAACCAGAAAGTCTAAATTTATTGCCAAAGCGATAATACAAAAACGGGAGAACCAACATTAATAACCCCAAACTCTGGGGCCACTATGTGCATTTGTCGTGAATATGCACTTGACCGCAGAGTGAAAAATACTCAGCAAATTTGGGCCGATCACACTTCTTGGACCGACATACAAAAACTGGAATAAAGTGTTCACATTGCTTGACGAGCATGATGGAACCCTCATACATAAAGTTCATTTCCCGTGGTCTTGAAACGAGAAGACCATACACACTAATTGAGCCTGCCAGACGTCAACGTCCTCACACTCTGAAGTATGAAACAAGGAATAAAATTCTCCAGAAACAGGGGGAGTTCCTACGAATATAGTAAAACGCCACTTAGGTGTTCATTTATCTCGTTATGAGCTATTAAGAAATATTACGAACTACTATGAACATGTCTTAAAATTAATCGAACAGCTAGCAGAGAACCAGCTGTCACACGGGCCAGCTAGCCAATCAGCCGGTTAGGGCAACTTAACCACTGGTCTTAGTAATAGGTCACCGTACGGAGAGAAGATATACAAGACGAAAGAAAGTCTTCAAACGAACGCGCCGTTGGTTGCCAGTCTACAACTCTCAGTGTCAACGTGGCTTGTGGTGAAACATTTGCAGCAAAATAGCCCAGTTCTGGGAAACCGAAAAATGGCCATGCATAATGCATTTCGCCTGCTCCTCTGAAAAACAGTTTACCCAGAAACCAACCATGCCAACCATGCTTCTAGGACCTACCTTACTTGTCGTACCACTTCTACATTCATTTTGTCTTTCCTGATCTTCATGTATTGAAACCACGGAGTGAATCATGCCTCCTCACTGCTCAGTTACGTTTTGTATTCTGTGTAAACAGTTTTAGTTCTGTTTATCCAACATCCTATTTGCGATAGTCCATGCAAATAATTCGTAAACAGCGTTGTTCTTCGTATCCCTGTTGATCTTCTTCTTTGGTCCAGAAATCAACTTCACCAGTGTAACCACTGGTTTCCAGGCTTCCCCTTGCTTTATTGGCCATGCTGTGAGTACAGATACCTTCCTGATGCACGCTAGGAAGTCTGGTCTTATTTTCTTTCTTTTTTTCCAGTCCGACTGTATTGTTGTGTGTATTTGAATTCCTTGATTGGATGCGGTAATTTTGTAGTTTTCTGAAGGATTTCTTTGATAATCAAGTATCCGGTTCGTACGTTTTTTGGCGATAATCCCAGCTTTAAAATAACCTTTTCATAGTCTTGATAGCTAGCACATCCATCAGTGATAGTTAATTTCCTATTATACGTTGAGTGTCCTTGAATACACTGTTTAGTAGACTGTTTGCGTGTTGCATTGCAGATCGTTTCATAATGATGACGCAATCACTTACATAACGGAAACTGAGTTTGTGATTGATTATTTGTAATGCAGTACGCTCCGTATTCTGTCTGACGATGAATCCGTTTATGGGTGATCCCGTTGGAGATCTTTTCCATTGTTTGTACATTTGTCCACCGAAGTAGCAGCGTGTCCGGTTGGAAGTCCAGAAATTCACACATGCTTTCCGCTTTTATTGAGGTCGTTGTGCTCGGATTATTCTTATGTAATTCCTTTATATTTTCCCTGACAGGCTGTAGTTGAATAGGTAAAATGTGCCGGTGACGTCAAACAAGAACATATTTCGTCATCCTGACTTTGATATTCTGCATTTTGCAAAGAAGCAGTCAAGCTTTATAGTTTGTGCATTTTGATCCGGCAATCACGTTTTTTCGTTTCCTCCTTAAATCTTTTGCTAGAGTGAAAGTTAGAGAGCCAGATAGTGAGATGGTTGGCTTCATCAGAGTATCTTTTGGTAGTCCGTAGAAACTGGCAGTTTTGCTGTCATCCAATTTGATTTTCCATCATTCTGGACTACTTATTCCGAGTGTTGCCTACATGCCCTTTGGTATCGTGTTGATGCTCCACGGACAACTCGGAGGAATAATCACGCAGTCCCGTATTACCATGTTTTATCTAAGTGAAAGTTCACCTAACGCTTCATTGCTTCACAAGCGAAGTAACCTCCCTATTTTTTTAGATTTGCTATACTGTTGCTGCTAAGAAACATTTCTCCATTGACTTGGTCACGAGCCCAATGATGGAATTCCTGGCCATCACAAAGCTCATTATTACAACTAAAAGGCCTTCAGTTTTACCATTCTCACTCCGTCTACATTATCCTCTAACTCTGACTTGGTGTATGACGGATGCTATTCCGCATCAAAGACAATAAGCTTTAAATTCTACTCGATGAATAGCCTTCAACACCCTAGTCCTTTCAGCATCTAAACCATATCAATGCATGTGCTGCTTGAGTGGTGGTAGAACATATTGATACCAGCCCGTAGATACCTAGCGGAAAATGTGTAAAGTTTAATTGCAAAGGCGCAGCTGGGAGTCCAATTAGTGCTTCCCCACAGTGGGAGACCAACTCCTGAACTTCTTCATTTTGTCCGAAAAGATTCATTAAATGCACAGTATTATACCATTTACAAGCAAATCTATCTCAGCAGCCTGTTAGAACTCACCGACAATCGAGTAACTTCAAAATTTATGCCTTATGTGCACACACTTCTAGGGACCATTCTTGAAAATGACTGTGGTTTTCTTATCCTCGTATCAAGTACGAGTAGTAAGAATAGTATGTCTTTCCTTCTATTCTTGATGTTCTTCGCCAACAAAGACAATGTGGCACCAATTTTTTAATAGCAGGATATCAGCTTAACGTTCCTCAGAGAGCTCTAGTGGATCGAGGGAGATTAGTCTGCCATGAACCACGTGGTAAACCAATAATAGTATGTAGGCTTGCGTAGTCTCTGTTTGTTTTACAGCACTTAGTTATCAGTACAAGAGATGCTAGTTTCCAGGTGACCGAAACCTAAAACGGACGTTTTCTCTTTTCGTTTTGTGCGAGAAATGATAGATACCAGTGGTCAAAACTTTGTATGACCCGATTGGTGAAATCTGGGCGTTTACTCTACACCATAAACAACTATGACACTGTACTAATCAGAAATGGCTATAGGCAAATGAAATATATTTGTATAAAGTATTCAATCTAATGTTAGATCTTAGGATAAATCGGTACAGTGACTTTCGGAAGCAGTGAGTACCGGGAACTGTGTTACGAAATTAGTAGCAAGTAACTAGATAATAATTGAAAAGCTTTAACTGTAGACATTTGGTGGACCGATGACCATAATAACATGGGACACAAATGACTATAGTGTGAATCTAAGGCGGACGAGTTTTTAGTGACGGGCACAACCACATTTGTACTGGTCTTTTCTGTTTAAATCCGTGTAGGGTATCCAGTAATGCACATGCAACTACACCAATGCTTTGTCTTTTGAGCAGTATTTTTCCACTTTTCCAGACAGAGTGCAATCACCGTATCTTCAAACGATGGGAATAAAAATGAAATATCCGTCTATTTAGTAAAAGTGTCGAGATTTGAGTACCAAATCTGATACTAATCATGACCTGGGCCAGTCTGCTTTGGGGGGCGGATCTTTAAGCAGAAAATTCAAGAAAATTAATTTAGGTTATTAAACGATATATAATGAGTAGTATTACTCTAACGAAATCTTCAGCATGTAAACTCGTATTACTATATCCTATAGTATGAAACACGCGAACTCACCCAAGCAAAAATATCACTACACAAAGAAGATAGGTCAAGGATCCGGGAATGTAACTGACGTTAGTTATGACCGACTTTTGACAGTACACGCAGAACGTTGTTCCAGGTGTGAATCCAAGGGGCTGTGTAACGATTACTGTTTGTGTTTCGGTGGGAGCTGAAAACATACGAGCAGAAAAATGAATCGCACAGGTTCATGTGGCACTAACAAACGTTTGTGGTTAGGTTTGGTAGATTCAGTAAACTTCACTTAGAAACCTCGTTTGCCCGCTAACCGTCTACAACTGGACCAGTCGCTAATTGTTTAACGACTAAGTGTATAAATATCAGCCATTTCTTGCGGCCATTTCTGGGATGAAAAAGATGTTTGAATAGTCTTCAGCACACAGCTGTGTTGACACGTTAAAATTGAGTTTTGGCTCTCGCACATACAGCTATCACCGGACCAGTTACTCCATGGTCCCAGACCTGCTACACCCGGATCCGGCAAGCCGCGTTAAACGTGAGGGTATAATCATCTGTCTCATAGATTATTGCTCGGATAAACAAAGTCGCTGTCCCAATATAGATTTGGCAAGAGGCACCAGACGTCCAGCTCGATGGGACGCGTTTTCAGATACGTATTTGAAAACAGGTAGGGAATCGGGAAAGTGGGCGACTTGATAAATATGAACTTATCATTGGAATATAGTCTAAACTAGACGCGAATTTATTTGCATCTATTACAGGTGTCATACTGGTTATTATAAAAAAAGCCAAGCACAACCATCATAGACTCTGCCAGACTATCTACCATGAACAATATGAGTAGAGTTAGAATGACGAATGCTAAAGCTGAAGTGTATACCCTAGTTCCACCATCCTGGTAGGCTTCATCAAACTAGCTTCTATGAGGGTAGTACCACTTATTTCATTGCTTATTGTCAGAAGGGTCTTTCTGCTGTCATGTTCTCGTAACTAACTTGACGTACCCTAAGAGGTTTATTGAAGTCATTTTGTCATATCAGCAGAAATGCGGTTAAGTATCGGTTTCACCAGGAAAACGCTTCCGAATGTTGTGATCGACTTGACCACGGTCAGTTTCAATGGTGTGACAAGCACAGCACTCGCGATCAGCTCCGCACTCAAACCGACCCGTTGCAATAAAGCATGAGATGCTAAACCCTTTCAACTTGCAATGTGTAACGGTAATCTACATCAAACGTATTCTGTATGCGTCACACAATCCAAAATGAATCTGTATTTCCATATTCCTTCGCCGAATGAGGCATCTAGGAATGACATGAAGTTGTGGAATCCGAAAAGGTTATCCTAACATAAGTCCACTCCACTTTCAAAGCCGAAACAGATTAGTGCAAGTGAAAGTTCCAGATTTCTTCGGTCTAATATCTGAGTTCCTCTCCTCCTAACCTTCTATATCTAGTGTGGTACAATTATTCTGGTTGATCTTATATTGATCTTAATATAAGAGCTCATTGGCACAGCACCTCCTTTTTCTTGCTGGAAAAGAGTCCCAAATCACTGACATTGAGGCAATCCTGTTAACAGCACGAATTGGACGACTCTGAATAACATCGTCTGAATAGGTGTGTAATTCCACATTCTGAATCAAATGTTAGGTCTACTAAAAAACGGTAGCATATCCCAAAGAAAAAAGCATCAACGGAGACCACAGTCTTGTATTGTTAGCTCTCCATTTGTTTTCGATCTGGGAATAATAGTTTTCTTTACTGAGGTTGCCGATTTCCTATAAACTAACAAATTTCTGTGCGTCAGGTGTGCACAGATCTCCATTGATTACCTGAGGCATTGTTTGACAAGGAAATTGAGTTTAGCGTGTGAATTTCATGGCACTGTGAAATCTATTGGAAACCATACCCGGGTTCAGCTACAGTGCTTCATAACATTATCTTTTCTTCATGCTTTTTTGACGCTAAAGCAAAACTAGATCGTGATTCATCAAACCAGTTTCTGCCAGTGACTCATCCCTCACTGAAAAAACCACCAGTATGTAGCAATCTATACAGATAGTCATGGGTTCCATCGAAACACACTGCATTAATGAACTTACAGTTCCAGATGCACAGTACTTACTACGTAGATCGGGTTATATGCTATGTACTGAAAGGGCTTCATCAGTCGTTGAGCGCAAGTTTTGAAAGGAATTGTAATGTTGGTTTTGGCCCCTTTTGACCTCATGCTTTTTCATAATATCCGAGTACCTTCAGGTCACTTACTGAGTCAGACCACTTCGCAAGATAGGTTGATGTATCGGCCAACTTTCTTGCCTAAGTGTTGGACCATATAGTATTTCTCTGAAGTAAGAAAAAGTCAGTAACCACAAAAACTTTATACTTCCAGACTCCACACGCTAATCGTAGGGTAGCTATAAGCTCTTCGACCGCCCCAACCGATTTCTCTCTTCTTGGGCCTCATTAGGTAGGCGTATTCCCTGAGTTTTTGCAAACCTTAGTTTCTGCTTGAACCCAAATTGGACGGGACTCACCAGACATTTTCAGTTGAGCACTGATTTCGTTTCGGCATGAGACTCAACTTCACTAATCTGAAACTCTGGCCTGTGATGATTTTCTTCTCTAGAGTATCGCACAAAGTGAAACAAGGGACACTCTTGTGCGGCACACTCAGTTGAATAGGACTATCGTAAACAACAGTTTCTGCTTGGTTTAGCTGAATCTTCCATTAAAATCAATTTAGTGTACAGATGGTAGTATTTAGCCATTCATTCGCTTTAAAAAACACAAATAAACCCTAGTGATCTACCATGAATTGGTTGGAAAATTGGCAAAGATCCAATTCCAGGCTAGACAACTGATAGGTCTCTGTCGTATTCCAGCACTAATGGCACAATCTATGTGGGTTTTTGTTTAAATATGCCCCCATTCTAGATATGCCGGGAGAACGCATCATAAAGGTCTTTTATGTGCTCATCCTTGTATGTTGGACGAAATTATTAAACAGTTTGTGGCCATCTCTGTGTCTGATTATCCGATGGATAAGTAAGGGGGAAATCGAGTACTGTGCTGCGAGTAGATTTCAGGCCGATAAGTGTATCAGAACATTTCAAGACACTTATCTCTACGGTATTTTACAGATTTTACAGGACATTCACAGATAACTCTGGGCGATTAGTGGCAGGGAAGTCTGGACCAACGGATTCTCTTTATACATCCGAACCACTTTGTTTATTCTATGTAGTACAGCACGCGGTGAGAACTGGGTAACCGCGGATTGAAAGTTATACACTTTTTTTCATTCTTCCACCCGTAAATTAATTTTACTGAGACAGGAGCTACCAGTCTGTGGTTGCTCTCAATACAGTTTTTGGAACGGACGAATTCGTCAACAGAAGAAGACATTCCATGACCAATTAAAAGAGCCCCGTGAGGCATTGCAGCATGTTGATGCACAGTCGAATAGAACCCTGTGTGTGACGCAAATGTCTAACTGTCGATGCATCGTCAAACTGTTCTCTATGAGCAACCGGCTCATTGCGTATAAAATCTTTCCTAGTCTTAGACGATGTCGAAGAGGATTGGCACGTTGATAGCACGTTCTATAATGAATAGGTTCTAGCAATAAACATATCTGCTCACTTTTGGAATAAGTGATTTGTACAACCCAACCAGTATGGAACCAGTGCGACACTCCCACAGACTCACTCTAATAGGACAGGTGTGGATCGATAAACCTAACAACTAAGATGCCACAGCTCACTCTGGCGATAAAATTGGGAATACCCATTAGACTAGAGCCATACTATAGACAAGTTCATGCGCGCCACCACTCCCGCGTCTCCGGGCTTTTCCGATCAAAAATATACGGTAAAATTCCTAGCTGTTTTGTTAAGCAAATAACCTTCACACAGCTCTTGAGTCTTCAGCAAAGCTAGGCACGTCTTAGTCTACACTGTTCCCCACATATTCATACAAACAATGCGTTTGGCCATTTTGTCTTTGATATCTTGCCTCAGCCTCCATCCTATATCTCAATCCAACGTTGAAAATTTTTGTCTGACTCATGAAGCCGCTGATCCACTCAATTCTGAAATCTCATCGATCACGTGTTTAAGATTACTCCAAAATATGTTGTCCGATATTTTCGAAGGCTATATTTATTCCAAGTAACTGTTCAAGTTATCGGAGTAAATCTGGCCGCAGAATTATGCATGACATTCGGTCATTCGAATTATAAACTACTGGGAGTTCGTTGTGTTCATTTTCACCGAACTCACCCAATCCGGACAATCCATTCTCTTAATGCCGTTAGAAACACAGGTTTGAGGTGCATATGACATCTGGTTCCATATTTTGTCACAACTGCCATCCACCTTCGTTCCAGTGTAAAACTTCAGAGTAGTAAAACAGCTTTAGGTAGGGGAACTAAAGCAAATAGATGTTTTATTACTAACTGGTGGCCAATTCAAACAGCACCCTGATATTCCCATAAAACTTCTTGATGAGACGGGAAAAAATGTACGGGTAAGGAGTTATTTGTGGGCGTCCACGATAATCGTGGCTGAAAATTCTGACGAAAGTTCTGAGCTGGTATTTTCACACTACGAACGAAGACGGGCTAGACTTCCGTGGATGCTAAACACACTTAAAAACAACTTTGGGAAGGCATCTTCAAGAATATCCAAGTGGAACGTCAGAAACACACATATGGTTTTGCCCAAGAATATCCATCTTCTATGAATTACGTTAAACCCCAATTGCTGTAATTTACTCAACCAAAAAAGCTTGGTATCTTGGCTGAACCAACTGACTGATGGCAAATTGTCGAATACTTTTTACGACGGTATGAGAACTCAGTGCCTTAATCCAATAAGTTGAACATCCTTCAAATCATATCATCCCTTAGAAAAGGATCAAACCTGAAGTTATTATTATATGAACTTTGATGTGAACGAGGCTGGGGAGGTGTAAACTTTTCAGTTGAAGTTCTTGGATATCGTTCAATAAACTGCTTGCATCGGTGATTGATAAAACAATATAGCGCAAGTGCATGACTCCTTCATAACTGGCGACCAAGTATCGTTTCTTCGAAAATCGTTATTCACACCAGTCTGCATGTAGTTCACGGTATTTTCGAAATTTTCTTCGAAAGTTTGCCGCTTTGTATTATATTTTTCCATAT